ATGATGAAACTCTATTGGACTTCATCGGTTAAAATAGATTCGAATATAGTACAAGTAAAGAAGATACTAACACATACATTAATTCCAAGACAGCAGTGACTTCTATTGGACTTCTTCAGTAGAAGCGAAGAAGATACTAACAATTAATTACATTAATTCCAAGGCATCAGTTACTTCTGTTGAAACTCTATTGGACTTCATCGATTAAAGTGGATTCGAATATAATATTAGCGAAGAAGATACCAACAATTACATTAGTCCCAAGACAGCAGTGACTTCTGTTGAAATTCTATTGGACTTTATTGAGTGGATCCGAATACAGTTTTAAAAGAACGCTTAAATAAAAAATACACAGTAAAATTTGACAAATATTTAAAAGTCCTCAAAAGCAAAGTAAAATTACTGAGTTTTTAGGAAATAAACTCATTCAGTGGGCATGGAACTTGGTAGTCTGACTTATCTGTGGTTTTTAATTTTCCGTGATCTGCTTCCCTGGCATTAGCCCGGGCTGTGGAGGGTATGTTATATATGAAATGCAGTTCGAAAATTATTTCATTTTAATGCTGTTATTTCTTTCAAAATTTTTTTCCTTTCCCAATTAATCTGCAGTAGATCTTTACAGGTGAACTGCCACTTTGATCGCTATCGTGTTAGCTACCCTGGCTGTGTTATCGTTGGGGGTTGGTCAAACCTGGAATAGAAAATGACAACAAAACTGCCATCCTCCTTTTAATTTCGACCCAGCATAAATTTAGTTGGCTGCTCAAAGTGGACATACAAATTACCCCTTTTTATTTTTTCATTTTCTTTCGCTATCATAAAACTGTTTGCATATAAAAATTTTATTTTTTTTTAATTTTTAAGGTCAAGAACCATAAATACTTGCATTTTTGTTAAAGTATTATGTCGATAATTTACTTCGTCCTTGTTCATGGAAATAAATAATATTCATCACGTTCAAAAATTTCCATAATCTTATTGCATTCGCTACTAAAATTACGAGTCAAAAGGAAATACTGCGCCTTTTCTTTAAACTCTTGCCAAAATTACTCCATTTTTTCTTTGCCGTATCCAATTTTAGTTACCTTGAACGCCTATGTGAATGAGTTGAGTGACCTAAGAAAAAAATTTTTTGCAGTTCTGTAAGGAATGATCTATTCCTCGGGAGGGGGGGGGGCTTTTGGTGCAAGAGTGAGTCATCTGGCTAGCAGATTTTTAAAATATGTGTTTCGAATCCTAGAAAGGGGAAACTTTATTTATCATGTTTTCTTGCTTCGAAAGAAACTTAAACGACTCGCCAGGGGCGTTGGAATTAAAACGTGGTGCAGGTAAGCCATCATTGCCTGAATTCAGTCGACGAAGTCTGGTGCCACTCCCCACCTGCATTTTAATCCTTAACCGCATACGCGAATGTTTGGTTTACAACAAATCGCTGCCACTTTTAAGTCTTCTTTTGTAAAACGGGATTCTATATGAAGTGTCAGCTAAGTGTCCGTGTCGGCTAAATGACCTGTCGGCAAAGTGTCCGTGTCGGCTAAATGTCCTATCGGCTAACTGGTGTCGGTTAAGTGTCACGGACCTCTTCTTGACCCCACAAATCTTTAAGCGATTATACATTTATAACTTTCAAAGCCTGAAAAAGAGATGTCTCAGATGTTATCATCATGCGATGTTTTGTGGCTGCTTTATTTTTTATCACAGTATTTTGAAACTACGATGTTTTAGAACCGATATATTTTCGACGACGATGCTTTGCTCATTTACTGAGAAAGTAAGAAGGAAACTTAAACTTCAAAAACTAAAAATGAGAAGAAAATTAATGCTACTTATAGCTGCTAATAGAATACTAAACTTAAATAGTTAACTATTAAAGGTCTTTAATTAATTAATCTCTTTTTAAAAATTTTATCATTAATTAATAAACCAATTCGGTAATTAATTTAACAGCTGCGACAGAAGTAACTCCGTGCAGTTATCGTGTTCGTTTTTCTAATCTTTTTTTCAAATATATTTTTCATGGAAAACTACCAATACAACTTTATAAAAGACATTAATTAAATAATAACCTAATAAATAACTAAATATAGCTAAATAAGTTTAAAATTACATTAACTGATATGTGTAGCATTAATTTTCTAATCACTTTCAGTTTTTGAATGTTTTAAATTCTTACTTTTTCTGCAAATTTTTTATTTACTTAAAAAGTACGAAATATGGAGCTAAAAATATTCCTTCTTGACCGGTCGCGGACACTTAGCCGACGGGACACTATGGTGGCATGAACAGCCCATTATAGAGAACAATAATTTATCCCTTTCCTTGTCTTAAAAGTTCACTTTTTTTTAATTGTTTCTAATAACAAAATAATATATATTTAGAAACTAACCCTTCATGACCATATATTTCTATAAAAAGTATGATTTAAGAATAACAATAATTTTTATTGCATTTTTCAGATTTTTCATGACAGGGAAAGGAAATTTCATTAGTGGGAGGAGCGAAACGATTTTGTAAGGCAAAGAATGTAACATGATGTATTGAGTAAAATAGTAATAAAACCTAAAGGTATTAGAAATTTGAAAGCATTTGGAAGAACGAGATTGGGAAATTAATATCATTAAGTAAACAAGAAAAATTATTAATAATGTGAAAGTGTTTCAAAGGAACCCAGTTGATTAAATAAAGAAGCTTTACGTATAATTTCTGAAGATCTCAAATGTAATTAAGTTACCGCCATACTTAGCTAAAAAAAATCCTTTTTTCCTTTCGAAGTTTAATTCATATTCCCTGACGAAACATTTCAGCGCTTTTTCAATTTGGCCAATATGCACCAAACAGCACGATACACATCAAACAATGCTAAATTATCCCAATGATTAAAAGCACATATGAGATCTTTAAGAATCAAAAAATGAATTTTACTGATAGGGGAAAAATGACTTAAATATTGAACTTATGGATATGTCGAGAAATTTTGTAATTCGTAGTAAGTTTAAATAATTATTGGGTACGTGTTAGCTAAACGTCACTGTCGGCTTAGTGTCCTTTTGACTAAAAGTTTTGACAGTTAAGTGTCCCGTAGGTAAATGTCCTGAGGCTAACTCTCTGTGGCGGTCAAATGTCCTGTCGGCCTGTAACTCTCTGTGTCGGTCATTACTTGTCGGCTAAATGTTCTGTCGGCTAACTGTCCGTGTCGGCTAAATGTCCTGTCGGCTAAGTGTCCTTATCGGCTAAATGTTTTGTCAGCTAAGTGTCCGTGTCGCCTAAATGACCTGTCGGCAAAGTGTCCGTGTCGGCTAAATGTCCTATCGGCTAACTGGTGTCGGTTAAGTGTCACGGACCTCTTCTTGACCCCACAAATCTTTAAGCGATTATACATTTATAACTTTCAAAGCCTGAAAAAGAGATGTCTCAGATGTTATCATCATGCGATGTTTTGTGGCTGCTTTATTTTTTATCACAGTATTTTGAAACTACGATGTTTTAGAACCGATATATTTTCGACGACGATGCTTTGCTCAACGATGTTTTAGAACTGTGATTTTTCTTCATGCTTTTCTCCTACGGAAATCTTTTCGCCTTGCATTCTTTTCTCTGCGACGATTTTGGCCACGATGTCTTCACCTGCAGCCCTGAAAACGTCAGAGAGAAAATAACATAAGAGGGAAACATGACGATAGCAAGGAGAAAACACCCTGTTAAGAAAAGAAAGCAATGAGAATATATCGCAGTTCTAAAACATTGTTGTATAAAATATTATAGCAGAAATAAATGCTGCCATAAAAACTTTTAAGACATCGTCATGCATAACATGATGGAAAAAATGAAACACCAGGAAAATATTGCGTGACGACAACATCGTAGACCTACGTCTTCAGATTTTAAAAGTTTTAAACTTGTTATTTCCTGAAAACCTATTAATTTTTTCAAAGTGAATGATATCAAATAATGATTCTGTATAAATAACTCCATAAGTTTATATTCTATTAACTACTATTTATAGCTGCATTTTATATTCATTTTGTGGTTTTGATTGCTTAAGCTTTCGTGAATTTGAGTTAAAAAGTTTCGTCAATTCAAAGAAATTCAAGTAATGGAGGAGGAATATTTTTCATTTTTTTTATGCTCATGGATCGTTGCCTGTTCAACAGCAAGCATGTAGTTGAGACTTTAGAAGTGTACGATGTTATCACCTTATGATTGTTTTGCACACTGATTTACTTTTTATGCCAGCGTTTAGTAAGTAGATTATTTTAAATCTCCAAAATTGCTTTCCTGCATTATTTCTGTCAAGATTTTAAACACCGCGTTGCTTTATTAGTGGGTCGTTTTCTTTTCTACCATTGTGTTTTTTTACGATGTTTTGAATCGCGTGACCTTTCAGTCTGTGATATTTTTGCTGCGATATTTTCCGCACACACAATACCCTTAACATTTTCATTTTGAAACTGAAAATATCATAATGAATTGATAATATTATTTTCTTAACTTTTGTACAATATAGTTAGGAGACTCTTTTTCTTTAAGTAAAACTATTGTAGAGCTATTAGGTTATTTCGAAGAAAGAGAGATGAAAAATGAGCAATGCCTTCGCCGGGACTCAAAACACGGACCTCTCGAATACGCTTCGAGCGTGCTGACCACTAAAATACTAAGGCATGTTAAGAAGGCGGGAGAAATACCTTATATACCCCCTTTTAAAGGGCGACTGGGGATTAGGGAACATAAACGCCAAATCCTGGGGGTGAAGAATCATCATTCACCACCCTTTTAGTTTGGGGGTGCCACTGTAGAGTTATTAGCGTATTTCGAAGCAAGAGAGATGAAAAATGAGCAATGCTCTTGCTGGGACTAGAACCACGCTTTGAGAGTGCTGACAACTACACTACGAAGACATGCTAAGAAGGCGGGAGAAATGCCTTATACAATAATTTTGAAAGAAACGTATAACTGTTAAAAGATTTATAATAAAACTTATGTTTTAAAATATGTTAACTTACCTCGCTATTTTTATTAATAATTCCAATCAAAGGCCAGACTTCCAATAGTTCAGGACCACTTACATTTATTTTGAAAACAACGTTGCTTTTTCGGCTGTAAATCCGAAATGATTTCTTCTGCGGATTTATTTTGTTTACTGGTTTGATTTCTACAAGCTCGTAATGCGACTTGCACTCTGAAACTGGCTTGAAAAATAATACACACTGAAATTCTTGTCGGGAGTCTGGAATTTCCTGCTGAAAGTCGGAAGTATCTGACATGTCAGATGACATCGTATAAGTTTGCTTCCGCGAAAGAATTCTTTTTTAAACTACTGATTACACTACGTGTTATAATGATTTTTTATAGCAAGATTAAAGAGCAAAACTCTCAGATAAGAATTGCAGTAAATAATGCCAGGTTATTTTTCTTAAAATATTTAACAGATGATATGATATTATTGCATTTAATTTACCTAAAAAAAGCTAAGCACGCGAATAATAAGGCCAGAAATATAGATTTAATAATAATAATAAACCATACATTGGTAAATAAAACCTGATCCTACTAGAAAGTTGGCAATAGCTATGAAAGTAGTAAAAAAACGGAACGGCAGTTGTTGCTATCGTTACTTGTGTTCCGAACATACTCTGTTATTTAAATTCTTCAATAATTTTTTTTTTGAAATTTTTAGAACCAGTAGATACTTTTCAATTAATTATAAAGCTGGCAAATCCATATAATTTAGGGCTGTCTCTGTGATTCGAAGCACGAGTCTTGAAGTTGTTAACTGCTCCTGCTTTCCACTTGCAGCACTAGAAATGCATGCAATAATTTCTTATATGCTTCCTCATTTTAAAAGTCTCTCTTCATCGACCAAATGTAGATGGCAGCAAATTATTGTCCAGCGTGTTTTACTTTCGACATTACTGCAGAGACTTTTAGAATATTTACAGCGAGAAACGCAAAAAAACAATTGAGACCTACCGAAATTCGAACTAAAGACCTTGCAGCTGCTAGCACGACTTGATAAGTACTTACACCACGAGAGAGTGCATGAGGCAAAGAGATAATTCCTTACAAAGTTAGGTTTAACACGAAAACACTGCACTTTATCTCAAGAGATCCCAAGAGTATTTCTCAAACGATTCGCTGGCTTTTGCAGTTTGGAGATACCGAATCTCCAATTTGATCTCCCAATGTGAATGGCTTTGTAGATTCTATTTAGATATTATTACGAATTTGTTTATGTGTCTAAATAATTCAAGTGAAATTATATGTGAATTGTAGAATCCTTTATGTAGTATCTGGCGACTGTTTGGCGATCAACATAGCGTCTGGTATCTGGCGCGTCTAGGTTCTTCTCCAAGGAGGGTTACTGTATTTTAAGAGAGTTGCACGTCAGCCTCAGAAGAGGAACGGACTAGATTTTGCTATGCTGTAAGAGCGATGTAAGGTTCTGAGTTTGATATCATGCTTCGAATGTTATTTTAATAAATGTTTGTGTCGTCTTGTTAAATGGTGCCTTATTTAACCACGAAATTATCACACTTTGTGTAATGTAATATGAAAGCCTCGAGAATGTGAAGCTCTGCTGGAAAAATAAGGCCACAGGGGAAAGTCAATTAAACCTTGAGGTAAATGGTTTGGCGAGATAGCGCCAAGCTGGTCATAGTTTCTGCGACTACTTTTTGTCGTTATATTTGCGAAAAATCTCCTTGGAGAGCATTTGGCTACATTTTTGGTCCGATACCTATATAACCGTGGCTGGTTCGATTCCTATGTAAATGTAATTGCACTTGTGTATGCCTTGGAGGAATTTCGAGGAATCAAAGGTGGTGGAAATTTCTTGACGGCCGGAGAGAACTATATAAGACTGCAGAGAGCATTAGTTTAGCTTAGTTCACATTTGAGTTGAGAGTTTAGCTAAGAGTATTGAGATTATTGAGAGATCATTCTGCGAGCTTATCGCATTGAGGCTTTGTATATTGCCTTGCGTTTAACGTTGTTAGTAGTTTGGAGGAATAACTACTCTTTGTACTCTGCCATACTGGGAAGAGCTGTACGAATACTTTTGTGAAAAGTTCCAGAACTCTAAAGTATTTCTTTTGAAAAAGTAAATTTTATAAAGCTGTCATCCTTGTGTGTGCATTCAATCCATTACGAACCAGTAGGCTAGTAACAATATTTATCGTATCAGAAAACATGAAAAATAATCAGTGCTGTCGCCGGGATTCTAACTCCTGAATATCCGACTACTAGCCGGACGTACTTCTAGGTACACCACGAAGACATGCAGTAAGGAAGGGGTAAATTCTCTGCATTTATGCTGATACACTGATGAATTTTAATGAAGCAAAAGACTGATTTAAACTGATAAACTAATTTAAAATTAGTAAGAATTTGCTTGAAAAATTATCAGTAAATGAATAAACTGCTTTGTCCATCTAAAAAACACGTTTTAGAATTATTTTCTTTTTATTATTTTAATCGAAGTGTCCTAAAACGTATAGGCCCACCAGCGATCGAGTAGTGAACGCGCAGAACACTGGCGGTTCGTCTGGGTTCGGATCCTAGGAAGCAGAATGACTGCATGGGCATTTCTAGTTTTCTCCAAGTGTAATGTGTATACGAGCCACTTTTCCTTAGGAAGATCACCACGAAGGCATCCCTCCCCATAGACAGATAGTCCTTGAGAGATTTGCAGTACTCAAATAAACCTAACTAAACAAACATAAAAATATAGAAATTAGTCTATTATTCATCAATATAAATTCTACCTCTTTTTCCTTTTTTTTAATATAACAATTGAAAAGAAGGTCAAATATATATCATTTCCATCGTTACACATTCTTACTTTATCTATAAGCAATCTTTCGTATATTCTGCTTTCATTTATGTACAACATAAATGTTGATTTTTCTATAGAAAATCTTATGAACAAAATCACCTTAAAGTGCTTTCAAAATTTCAAAGTTTTATCACTCTTCAATTCGATTTAACATCTGCAGCTGAGGTTTACTAAAAGCAATTTTACTAAGTGCGCCGTCGAATATGTGCATTAACTCGAAAAGGAAGCGGCAGAAAAGCTACAAAATTCCGTGCTTATAAGATTAAGCATCTAGATAGGCCTGGAATCTGATTTGAAATTGTTTAGTCAGGAGTATTGGTTGTGGTTAAAAAAGGGCATTAAATGTTTGTATTTTATATAAAATGCAGTTTTGTGATTTCAACAAAATTCAAAAGCTAAAATTTCTCTTTTACTAAAACTTCGCGCTGTAATTTATTACTCCTATTTTAAAACAAATATTTAAAAATTTTAATAAAATGAAATGCTCTTTTTCACACTTTCGGGTAATTTATTTTACAATGATGAGCTCTTTCGGAATATTTTATCATGTTTTACAAATTTAAAACATTTTGCTGGTTTGTAGGGATTTATATTTATTTTAACTAATAATTTAAAGTTTTATTTGAAACTTTCCTATAAGCCTTCATTCTCCTAATTGTCAGTGCCAGAATAGTTAAATGTTGTAGCGCGCGTGAACGAGTGCACATTTTCTATTTGGAAGGAAGTAGTTAAAGGCCGAGTTTCGGTAAGAGAAAAAGAGAGTTAAGCTCTAGCTTGCCGTCTCTGGCGTAGGTACGTTTGCTCATTGCTGGTTCAAGTGGCTTAACTGCATTGCTTTGCTGCCACTAGTTTAGAAGGGGGTTGAAATGACGGATCTCGCTGAGCCCTGTAGGCTAGTTTTATCACTTGTTAATATTTCAACTTTTAGTTTCAAATTATCTGACTTTCAGTTACCGGCCAAGTAGAGGCCAAGTTTGTTAGCTTCGAGTTGACGCATTGTAAATTTTAAAGAGTTAATAAAGGTTACGTGAACCCTTCTCCTGTGTAGTTTCCAGCTACTCTAGTATACAGATAGATGTTAACCCCCCTGTACTCTACAGGTTACACTGTATATTTTTACTTTTAAAGTCTATTAATATATTAAAGCAGGCTAGTGTGAAATTTATTGTTACCTAAAAATCTTTCATCCGTTAGACTTACGTAAGCTTTATAGAGGAAAAAAAATCATAACATTTTTTAGCTTTCAAGAGAGACTCGTCTCCTTCGAAATGCATAGTCTTCTGTAAAACTTACATTGATTAAAATAGAATTTTGGCTAACTCAAAAGTAAAAATAAATATTTAAAATTAAGTTGGAAAACCTTACATTGGAAAAATGTTCCTGGAATAAATTTTGAAAACAATTTAATTTAAATTTAGTCATTTATTTATCAAATAAATGACGATCAAATAAATGACATTTTTATCAAATAAATGACAATCGATTTAAATCAAGTCATTTATTTATCGATTTCGAAGATAATCAGACATAGGTTCCTCTCCTTAAAGAACTAAAACAATTTTCCATAGATTTTTTTTTTAATTTTATTTTTTAAATTCCACATTAGCATTTTACATTTATTATTAAATCAAAATATGCTGTTTAACTTTCCCATGTGTTTATTAGTATTGTTACTTGCATTATTTTTTTGTCTGCTATTGCATCGAGGTAATATTTTGTTCTGGTGATTTCTAACCATCATTTATCTTAAGCAGAACTTATAAGACACGAATAAAAACCTTTTTCTTAATAAGGCATCTATTTTACATTTGTCAGTATTACTAAACTTTATGAAGGACTCGCATCCCATGTGTGTGGTTTCGTGTGTTATTTCGTTTAGAATATCTAGCTGGAAATTAACGTTCTGTGGTTTGAATCGTGGTGAGGGGGAAAAGATGATTTATTACGTTTCCCGGGTTTTCAAAAATTCTAACAGTTGTTTTTATATCTAGAAATTAAAAATGCTTAACTTTTCTTATAGCCAGAAATACCTAGTATATAGACTGTATTGAAATAAAATGTAAACGCAATAAACTGAAAACTTCAACGAATTCGCAATGATCGTACGTGTTTCCCAGAGAACGTTTCGACCAAGAGTTTGCAAATGTGTTTTGGTTGCGCTGAATGACAAAGCGTTTGAGTTTGTAAATATGATTAAGCTTGAAAATGGGCTTGGCTTAAATCTTGGAAAGTTTACGAATATGCTTTGAAGTGACAGATATTTTGGAGCTGGCTAATCTGCTTTGATCGCCGTAAATGACACAGCATTTAAACTTGTAAATATGCTTTAGCTTGAAAACGAAAATGCTTACGAAGACATTTTACTCTTTCAAATGTATTTCAACTTTACGATTGTATTGTGATTTTGCAATTCTTTTTAGCTTCCTAATGTGTCTTGATCGCTATAATCGGGCCAACGTTAGCATTTGTTACGATAGACTGAAAATTTGTTGTAATCTTCCAAATTTATTTAAGCTTACGAATGTGTTTCGATTTTACTAAAATTGTTTAGCTTGCTAATGTATTTTGATAAACGAAATGACATCACGTTTGGCTTGCAAGTATGGTTTAGCTTGCAAATGTGTTTTAATTGTGCAAATATGCTTAAGTCTGCAGATATTTTTATCTGGCACATATTTTAGCTTGAAAATGTGTTTCGAATGTTGTAAACGGAATGACGTTTTACATCCATCAAAATACCTTTGCAAGCTAAAACAAAAAGAATTCCCGTTTAAAAAATTTCCAGTTTGGTGAGAAATATAAGGTTTTTTATTTATCGAAGAAAACAAGGGACTCTGATATATAAATAAGTATTAATAATAAATTTTAATTATAAGTATTAATGTCTATAATTTGTATTATGATGCATGTGGAGAGAAATACGTTTTTGTTATTTACAAATAAGAGTTACATTGGAAAAAAATACTTTCAAATTATTTATTGTGGATTAATGTTTACGCTAGCAGAACATATCAAACAGATGTGAGTTTCATCGATCTTATCTCTCAGTAAGATGGTAACAGAAGAGTTTTATATTCGTTGTCTGTATTCCTTACTATTTCTGTGATCGTTTTCCGAGCACATGGATGAGTTCTAAGTGTGTTTTTCTCTCCTCTGCAGGTGATCATCGAGCTCTCTTCAAGCAAGCTATGCGCCACTGGGAAAACTATACTTGTGTCCAATTCGTGGAAAAGGAAGAACACCCTAATTATATTGTTTTCACGGAAAGGCCCTGCGGGTGAGTCTTAATCCTTTTTTTTTTTTTTTTTTTTTTTGCGTTTTTATTGCTTTTCGTTGCTTTCTGATTCTCCTTAGAGACAATGAGTCTTCTTTCCGCAGACTCGCTGAAGATAAAACACTTACATTTAGCCACACAGTCTGTACTGTATATGTAATTCTAATTGTACTGTAAGTATATGTGAAAGATGTATGAATAATTTTTATTTTCAGTGCACCTAAAACATCTGGAAACTTATCCTTAAAATTAATGGTTACAATGAAGAAAAAATACAGAGTTACAAAAGTAACTTCGACAGAATAAGAATAGAATGTTAAAATAGTACTATGAACACACCTGACTATGAATATGAATAACTGTGATGTCATTTTTATTTACATTTCATGATATAGTAATAATATTCGTATGAAATAGGCTGGAAGATTTATTGTAAAATTAATTATTGAAAAAGTTTAATTAAAAACCAATTTGGCAGCTGTTCTTTAAAGTGGATGCATTGAAATTATTTTTGTTTTCGATTCCTTTTTAGCATCGGTTAATGGTGGGAGCTGAGTTAGGTTTAATTCTGATTGTAAAATAGGAATAGTTACATTTTGAAGAATTTGTTTTTAACTATAAAAGTCTGTAAAACAAATAATCATGGTAATAATGAATTGGCATTTATGTGGGCAAACTGTGGATCGGAACTTGAGTTCTACGGTTTTCTAGAAAATATTACAGTAAGATTGTTATAGGGGTAAACAAAGTGTCCAACTTTCCCATTCGATTAATGACTTTTAAGTTTGTAACTTCATGTTTTTTTTAAACTTTTTAATTATTGTCCCAACAACTTCGACCTCTGAACGATTTGATAGATCTCAAAAACTTCTCTTGTTGTTGTTGCTAACCTCACTTGCCTGACCTAATCAAAACAAGCCCGCGAAATATATCGTGTCAGTGAGTACAAGATTATATTTGTAGTTGGCATGGACCTTGAGAATCGCATAGGTTACAATACAACCTTTGCCAGTTCCGCATAGTTTTGAATAGTCGCATCCCGAAGGACTGTTCCAAGCGTTGTACCTGTTATAGCTCCTCGGCCTAAAATAGTTACTATGAAAAATAAAAGTATACTGTCATTTTAATGAGTCCAGGCGCAGTTTTATAAAAGTATTTAATGTTTTTAAATAGCTTTGAACTAAATGCATTTTATTTAAATTAATCAAGTTAAAAAAATGTTTAAATTAAATAAAAATTTTAATTAGAAGTTAAAAATAAAATAATATGAAATATTGCGTTTATTGCTTTTAAAAATCTCTTAGCTTGTTACCAATAACACACAGGTTAAATACAAAAAAATATCATACGTTTTCCGAGTGGAAACGCACTTGCTTATGGAAGATTTATTTTAGGCAGTAGCAATATGTTATTTTTAAATCACTGAGTTTTCTTATTAAATTTGAAACACAAGCTTTTCCGAACGCGGCAATATATTGCTTTTAAATCATTAAGTCGGTTAATAAAAAAGTCCTTAAATTCGTATAAAATGTTAAATAACGAATTTCTAAATTCAAAATGTGTGAAACGAATTTTTAAATTCAAAATTTGTCCTTCAATGTTCGCATGTTTGTATAGAAGTCTATATCTGTGCAAATTTTATTGGGAAAGTACGGGTAGACTACTATATCTGTTCCAAATTTCACCGCAAAAATAAGGCAATTTCAGGAGCTGCCGTATTTGTACACTTCCAGAAACTTTCATACACACAGATGTAATTTGCGCACGTACTAACATAACTACTTTCCCACCAGCGGTTCAGCGATAAAATTGCTGAACACTGAAAGCTCGATCCGGGATTCAAGTTCCCGACGAAAGGGCTGGCTGCATGAGCGTCGTTTTCATGGCTTTCTTTATGTGTAACGTGTATACGAATCAGTTTGTCGTAGAAAATTCTCCACGAAGGCATCCCTCCTCTTAAGCAGAGAGCTCTCGAGTATTTTGACATAATGAAATAAACCAAACCAAGCCGCATCCCTACTTTCATCTTCTTCATTATTTAATAGATATTAGTTTTAGAATTGCCACAGAGCTTATAGAAATAATTTTGTAGCAATTTGAAAAACTTTCTAAATTTAAACAATTATCACAATCAGTTTAAGTTTAATTTAGTACACCAGAATGCTTTCTTTGGGTCACAGTAAAATCGATTTGTAACTGAGCTGGCGATTGTGATTCCCTTATCGAATTAGCATACAATAATTATAATTCATTTTACTTTTGTTGTGCATGTAATCATCGTGCATATATATAAGTACTCATTTTATAAGTGAAGATATTAAACCTGTGCATGAATATTGATCTTGTATGCGGATGCTGTCGCGATAATCATGTCTAGATGAATCCACTAGCTAAATTAGCGAATCCTTACATAATATCGATATTCCAATAATTGTGTTATTAAAAGTATAGGAAAGGCATTTTAAGATGACTGCTTATAGTTAATAGCCATATCTTGTTTCGATATTGATTCATGCTGCATTAATTAATATATAAAGAGATATTAAAGGTACCTTTCAATTTTATATGAAACTGCTGTAAAATCAATTTCTGGATAGGAAAGAGTGCTCATTGCTACTGTTATATCAAAGGACATGAAAACTATATTAACTTTCACAGATAAAAATATGTCGATTAATAGGAATATAAAGTAAAACATTTTATGCCAATAATATAAGTTATATAGAAGTTTAAATGAGAATCATTTAGGGAAACAAATTTATGAAGAGTCTCACAATAATTTGTAATGAATGAAATATAAGTAGATGACATTAATGGATTGTTTCTGGACGCGAAATTTCTTTAGAATTATAAATAAAAACCACCACATATTTCTAACTAGGATATAAACTCAGGTGATGCAGGTAAATGAATAAAAAATTGAGTATCATATAATAGGGCTTTCAATATTGGTAAAAGCAGAGCAGTTTCGTAACAGTAGAGGCATTTGATATGCAGATGCACTTCTGATGGTTTCAGGTATATATGTACTAAGACTACCCTGGATGTTTTCCATCATATTTGGCTTAGGTTAAGTTAAGATTTTTGATGCGGCAAAGCACGCAAGAGCTATCTTCCTAAGGGAAAGATGTCTTCCCGTAGGAACACATACACAGATGAAGAAGAAAAAGGGGGTTCTTGGAGAACCTTTTAAAAGGAACTGGTTCGTATTCGACCTTGAGATAAACCATAGAAACCAACATGTAGATAGACCATAAACCTGGAGTCGAACAAACATAATTCAGTTCTCTTAATTACTCGATTACTTGTCGGGCCATTATAGCTGGAACAGAGGTGGGAAAAATCATTCTATTAAGAATGAAGAAGCCAAGACCTTCACCAAAGACATCTGCAACCCTTTCCTTTTCGGTCACAATGTTTTGTGAATCTGATCTACAGGGTGGTGTACGAAATGTTCTGAATCTAAAGCTGAATGGCAGAACTAGTAGTACAACACGCCGAACAAGGGAAAAAGATCTATCAACTGTTTCCGAAAACAGGCACTGCACCCAGTTCAATAACAAGAGAAATAACGTGGTTTATAGCGAGGTGTTTATCACGTACTTTTAAGCTACATCAGATCAGTGTGCATGTGAAGAAAGAGACAGCCGTGAAAACAACTTATTTAAATGTTCCCTCAGAGTTGAACATCATCTCAGAACTCAGAAAGTGGAATAAATCCTTTTATAAGATAAGCTATCAAGAGCAAATATATCCGAAAAGAAATAATAAAAATAATGAACTTCTTGTCCAAAAGAGGCACTGAGTTATGCAACACAGTATAAAACACAGCAACGCCTGACCAGACCCTTTGTGGGCCGTGTGAATTGTGGTTATCTGTGTGTAGTACAGTGTAGTTGTAATTAGTGCTGCAGGACATTGTCCACTTTGCCTATGGTTAAACAATGAGTATCTGCCACATGTCATCATAGCCATATCCTTTGGTTTGTTTTTTTCATATTTATTTATCATAAAAATGTCAATGTATACATATAAGTTATTTCTTCCGCATTCTTAGCATGCCTTCGTAGTGTAGTGGCCAGCACGCTGGGCGCGTATTCCAGAGGTTCCGTGGTTCGATTCCCGGTGATGGCGTTGTTCATTTTTCATCTTCCTGCTTCAGAAATTACGTAATGTCTCTACAGTGGCGCCCGAACTAAAAGGGTGGTGGATGATGATTTTCCACACCAGGATTTGGCAATTGGGTCCTCTAAAAACCCCTATCGCCTTTTAAAAGGAGTATATAAAGTATTTCTCTCGCCTTCGTATTATAGCAGTCAGCACGCTGTTCGCGCGCGTATTCCAGACGTTCCTTGGTTCGATTACCGGGGAGGGCGTTGCTCATTTTTCATCTTCCTGCTTCAAAAATTACGTAATGTCTCTACAGTGGCGCCCGAACTAAAAGGGGAGTGGATGATGATTCTTCACACCCAGGATTTAGCAATTGGGTTGCCCCTAGTCGCCCTTTAAAAGGGAAGTATATAAGGTATTTCTCCCGCCTTCGTAGAGTAGTGCTCAGCACGCTGGACGCGTATTCCCGGCGAGGGCGTTGCTCATTTTTTCCTTTCCTGCTTCCAAAAAAAAAAAAATCCTAATGTCTCTACATGCATAGTTAATTAACTGTCTCAGCAGGGGAAGTAAGTTTAGAGCAGAATGTGTTCAATGTTTTCTCCATTTTGTTTCACAATAGACTGCAAGCGAATCTTTGCATTTGGATTAATATCCAAGATATAACGGGTGGTGCTGTCTGTCAGTGTCAGAACATTGAGGATACCGATGTAACATTTCAAATAGCATTCACCTCACGCAGGAAATTAAGAACAACATTAACTATGTTGTAGTGCGGTCCATACTGCATGATTGAGTAAAGGAAGACCTGCTGCCATTTTTACTGTGTGGACACACTTGATGGTGCTGTCAATTCTTCTTCAACATAGAGCCAGTGGCTTCCACCTGCTGACACA